GCTGATATAGTGATGGATACCCAGAGATATCATAGAGAGTTTTCTATAAAGATCAAGTCAACATTTTCCAAAATAATTTGTTACTTGGGTGCCCAACTTGAGGCACTTTAAAGGGGCCTGATTTTCACAAAGTGCTGACCACCCGGCCCCTAGGAGGAGTTTCAGGCTGGGCACCTACATACCCTAAATCACTACTAGTCACTTATGCAAATCCGGCCTATCACCTGATATCTTTAAAAGCAATGTGCTTCAAGGTTTGGTGTTTGCTGTTTAATACTGAAATCCCGGTCTCTATATCAGTAGAAACAACAAGGAGTCTGGTGGCACCTTACCAGATTTATCTGGGCATAATAAATCTATTAGTCTTTAAGGTGCCACCGGACTCCTTGTTGTTTTTGTGGATACAGACTAACATGGCTCTCCCCCGCCCCCCCCCCCCCGACTACTTGATACTATAACAGAGCAGTAGAGAGACTCAGAGCTCAAAAAACAAGCATACCTCCAGTTTTAATCAGTGCTTGTTCTGTGGTGGAGAGGTCCATCAACGGCAATTAGCCAAGATGGTCAGGGAGGCAACCCCATGAACTGAGTGCAACCCTAAGTCTCTGAGAGCACGTCTACACTCAAAACACTGCACTGGTGAAGAAGAGCTTCTCCCATCAGCGTAGATACTCCATGAGAGACTTAACGGGAGAATCCCTCCCATGGACATAGCGCTGTCTACACTAGGGCCTAGCTCAGGGGTGTGGATTTTTCACACGCCGGAGCAACATAGTTCTACTGACTTAATTTCCTAGTATAGACCTGGCCTGGCTGGCGGCCAGAAACTGGGAGTGGATGACGGAGGATGGATCCCTGAAATAATTCCCTGTTCTGTTCATTCTCTCTAAAGCATCTGGCCCCGACCGCTGTCGGAAGACAGGACACTGGGCTAGATGGAGCACTGATCTGACCCAGTTTGGTCCTTCTGTTGTTCCTCTTGAGTGTAACAGAGAGAGAGAGAGCTCCCCACCCCCTCAATCACAATCTGCCGAGCCTGCAACCGCAGCCGTTGACATCCGCCCTACCGCGTGGCGATTCTGCACGCTCACCTTCGTGAACCAAGGAATCAATCCTCCCCCTTGGCCGCTGCATTGTGGGAGAGGCCGGGCGCCGGGCCGCACGTTGCAGCGCCATGGCGGCTGGAGGCAGGAGGTGAGTGCGGCGCGCGGGCGGGCCCGCTCGGCTCCCAGCTGGGGGCGCGGGGCCCAGGGGTCGCAGGCACGTGCGCCGGGGGCTGCAGCTTGCGCTGGCTGTGCTGTAAGGGGGGGGGGCTGAGAGCCAGCGCTGGGCATGAGCCGAGCGGTTGTTTAGGGCCCCGAGCAGCTGGGGAGGGGGGAGCCCTATTCATTATTAATATGTGTTGGGGGGGTCCAAAATATTCCTGCTTAGGCCCCCCCATGGGCTAGCACTGGATGGGCGGAGGGGGGGCCTTCTCTCTAGTTGCTCTAACCCTAAGGGAGTCTGCTCAATGCACCAGCCAGGGACTCCCCTCTGGGGGGGCCTTGGGGGAGGGGTGCCCCACAAGGGAGACACCCCCCCCCCCGGCTGCCCCCTTAGGCTGTGTAGGGCGGGCTGGGGGGAGGGATGTATGGGAACGGGCCTGTGTTGGGGGAAGGGAAGAGTGATTTTTGCATTTATAGTTCCTAGCCAGGCTTTGGGCCAGGGAAGGGGTGTCCAGAGCTGGGGGGCCGGATGAAGCCCCCTAAGGGCCTAACTGCAAAACTCGCCGTTGGATGGGGACCATCCCGTAAGTTTGTGGGTGCTCAGCTCGGGATCCAGCTGTATCAGCTATAAGATATTTGGGGTGAAAGGTGCAACGCGCATGGCAGGTTTTATCTGCTTCTGGGCCGGGGTCACTGAGAGCCTGGAGCTGGGGGCACCGCTTATGAATATTGCATACTGGCATCGTTTATTAGCAATAGTAATATCTATTGTGATAGGGCCCTGGGGCACCAGTCACAGATCAGGGCCATGACCTGTACAAACACAGCGGTCGGAAGTTTAAATTTCTATCCAATCGCCTCTCTTCAAACCGGAATTTCTAAAGGTGATGTCCCCTGAAAAGGGAGCAGCAATTAAAAAGATATTTATCCCTTCTCATCCCTAATGAGTATTTCTGTATGTTTTGCAAAACAGCGTGTGGCATGGGCTGTAACAGAGACTTGCGCAGTTAACTTTTGTTAAAGTGTGTTGTTATAAACTCATTATTAAGTCAACAGGCTGTTCATCCTATAATTCCTCTTCCTGGTTGAAATAAAACGTGGGGAGGCTTTAAATTAAATAGCTTTTGGCGAGCTACAAAACAGAAAGCAGGTGGTCTTTGGTGTTGTAAGAGCTTCCTGCACATTGTAAATGATTTCTGGGGTGTAAAGCACTGTTTTGTGTGTAACCTTGTACCTACTGGATCAGGTAAAGTCAGAAGTTCTTACTATACTGTCGTTTCAACAAAAGGTGGTTTATTGGGAATGTCTGCTCTGCTACTGATCAGAAACACACATCTCCTAGACTAAAGGGACCGTGCCTTTTCTTGGGTCAGATATTTTGCACCCCTTATGAATAGGCCAGGTGCAGCCTGTGGACCCACTTCATGAGTAAAATTTGGGATACTGAGCTATTACGTTAACTATTGAGATGGCTGTTTTTCTCTGGTAAATACTTCAGGATTATGCTGTGTACATATTCTTTTTTGGTTGCGGGGTGGGGATGGGCAGGAGTGCTGTATGATATGAGCGTCAAATCAGCTTAATTTAAAACCCTGAATCCTCTCCTCTTCCTCCCTTGCTTCTCTTCTCCCTCTGGAACTAGAAAACTGGCGGAGCTGAGTGTTGATGAATTTTTAACTTCCGGATTTGAGTCTGAAGTTGATGGTGACTCAGAAGA